TTTCATACAAACTGTTTTTTTTTTTACTCTAACCAGAACAATTGCTGAGACCATTTCTCTCCTCAAATGCAAAGCATGTATCTGTTATCCCAAGTCTTACCTGAAAGATCTTTCACTGTACTAAAAGGCCCGTGTCTCTTTTGTGTTTTCTCTCCCACAGCAACTAGGCCTTGGGGGAAAAAAAGGTTATCTGTTTATTTCTTTCTTAATTTATTTGGTATTTAGTAACATTTTTATATCACAATCATACCTTTTAAACCAACAACTGTAAATGAAGAAATACTACTAACACTTGCAAAAAGAAAAATGCCATTTCCAATCATCACCCCCACCAATTTTTAACCAATATACTCAAGTCACCATAATGCAATGCCTTACCATTTTTTCTCATATGCAAGTAATTTTAATTTTCATTAAGCTTGATTCATTAACAATTATCCATAGTGCATTCTTACATGACCTGCAGCTCGAGAGATTCCTTTCAGGAATCTACTTTCGTTCATCTGGTTAACATCTGTACCACAATGTCAGAGTGCAGAAAATGTTAATAAAAAATTACTGGTATATTTAATGTATCTTCAGCTTTCTAAAACTCTATGCTCAAAATACTATTTGTGTATATATGCCTATATATACAAGGGATAAGACGCTGAGCTTGTCGATCAAAAAAGTCAGCAGTTCAGCGTTTCGAATCCCTAGCACTGCATAATAAAAGTGAGCTCCCATTACTTGTCCCAGCTTCTGCCAACCTATCAGTTCGAAATCATGTAAAAATGTAAGCAGAAAAATAGGGACCACTTTGGTGGGAAGGTAACAGTGTTCCGTGCACCTTCAGCGTTTAGTCATGCCGGCCACATGACCACGGAGATGTCTTTGGACAGCGCTAGCTCTTTGGCTTTGTAATGGAGATGAGCACTGCCCCCTAGAGCCAGAAACGACTAGCACATATGTGCGAGGGGAACCTTTACCTTATATATGCCCATATATGTATAGTCAAAAGATATTTATTATCTGAATATTTAGTATTCCAAAGAAAGCTTAAATAAAATATGACAAGCCAAACCCAAAAAAAAAAAAGAAATTTAAAATTAACTAAATTATGAAATTACAATGGTGACCTTGGTACTCATCATTAATTGGTTCTGAGAGGCAGGATGAGTACCAAACAAATATTTCCCATAAGGAATAAAGTGAGTCACAAGGGAGCCAACAACGGCAAGTTCTAGGAGCCATGGTGGTGCAATGATTAGAATGCAGATTACTTTTGATGACTGTCAGCTGCCAGCAATTTGACTCACTGGCTCAAGGTTGATTCAGCCTTCTATCTTCCTGAGGTTGGTAAAATGAGGACCCAGATTGTTGGGGGCAATATGCTGACTAAACTACCTAAAGCACTACGTAGCAGTATATAAGTCTAAGTGCTATTGCTATTGTGCGTTGAGTATTACACAATGACAACTGGGGCAAAACTTTCGTGTCAAAATGCACTGAGTACCAAATTTGAACACAGTTGAGTACCAAGGTATCATTGTACTTTATGAATAAAAATATTGAGATCATAACATACTACATCACTTATAAAGCCTACACAGTTCAGGACCAGTTAAATGTTGGACTTCTTCTCTCCAATTGTCTCTGCTTTCCCCACTAAAACCAACAGAATTGCTCCAAATCCCATCTATTCAACAGGATTATCCTGCAGGACAGACCTAGAAGTTGTACCCTGTTCCTAAGCCTTGGAATCGAAATCACCCAAATTTTGTTGGCCTTGTGCAAAGGATCAATGACTTGAATATTCCTATTAGCATCTGGGCCAGGAGGTTAAGCAAGGCACACTGTTTATTCTGCTTGAAGCAGAATGGTTTTTTTTCACTCTAGGCATATGTTAAGAGTATGGTCTAACACCACACACGCAGCACATTGTGTGTGTGTGTTGGTGTGTGTGTGATTACTAGTAATTACTAATAATAAAAATGTAAGACAACACAAAGCATAGAAAAATGTATACATTTGTAAGGTCGTAAAATTATTTTTGTATTTTTTTACATGTAGTTTTACAAGATTTCTGGAAATCTTAAGTTTCTGGTCATATACACAAATGTAGCAGTCTATCTTTGAGCAGGCAAGAATTCCTGGTCTTATATATTAGTGTTGTTGTAGGCATCACAGAAATGTCAGTAAACTACTTAATACAGTTTAGGACACTAAACTGTACCTACATGCCCTTTTTATGGCTTGTCATGTATGCACTCTCAAACGGAGTTCAGCCAATCCATCCAGCATGCTTCCTAAAGAGATTATGAAGTTCTCCTACCTCGATGTAAGAACTGGCGACAGAGAACTAGGAATTTTTTTTTTCTGTGTGCTCCCCAGCTAAATATTTATCCCTAGAAATTTGTAATAGCATTCTCCCGAATGGGTTTTAGAAAACAGTCAAGACATAATTGTTTCAAAGCACAGGTGACCGTTCATATTAGAATTGTAGACTGAACTGGACACTCACCTTTCCGATCCGTTTTAAAATCAACTAAAATAGGCTCCTTGTTTCCTTCTTTGTTTTTTCCCAAGCCCTCTCCTTCTCTCCATCCCATCTTCCTCATGAGTTGGGCTCCCATTCCTCCACTAACAGGGGCAGCTCTGAGAAACTGATCCTACCCAAGCGGGGAAAAAAGGGGAAAAAGAACACCTTTGTTTAACACACTTTTAGAAAAACTGTAGACCTTTCTAACATTTTCAGCAATGAGTTCATATGCATATCCTTTTGCATTCATCTAGAAAACTTCAATGGATTGTTTCAAATTAAAAGTATAATTAAAACAAGCAAAAACTTATTTTTATAGATATATTACTTACTGAATAAAACATACTCCTTTACCAATTACATTTTCAGAAACAATCTGGGCCTTTGAAAACCAATTCCCTCACAAAACTCCTCATGCATGATAGAAGCATCTTTAAAAGAAAAAAGCTTAGCCATACAGTTCAACAGTAGCACGGGACAAATGTTTTGAAAACCTTTAAAAAAATCATACTATTAGTGAGAGTATATCAACTGTACTAAAATGCTTTCTGCTTTATAGTTCTTTAAAAACTCCTTAAACGTTTACGTACCTAGGCCTCGATGCTGCAGTGTTGTGAATAGTAGGGCTGGCATTGACCGTGGCAAGAAGGCAGCTACAAGGCAGATTTGGCCCTGAAACAAGTTTCCATATAGAGGGGTGAAAGTTCACAGGCTATTCTGTGAACTATCATCTCTCTTTTTGCCCCACCCAAGGACCCAACACAACAAACTGCTTGTGTTGATGTATGTAGATATACACACACACAAACACATAAGTACATACATATATTTATGTGTCTGTGTGTGTAGTATTAGCACATCATTTTTAAAATTTAACATACCAACTATACATAGAAACCCCTGCTTTCAGTCTACATTTCAATGACTGAAAATAGGCACTGAAAGTGAATTGAGTGTACAGTAAATAGGTTTGTTCTTCAGCACAGAAAATCATGACATACGCACACACACTGCAGTACTAATCTCTGTATCCCTGTTAAGAAAGCAAATTGTAGTGATTCCAATAACGTATGTAACATGAGTTCCTCAAGTATTAAATCAGCCCATATAATACAATTAAACAGATGTCTGTATACCATGCAAATGAACATTACTTTGGAAAAAGTGTTCTTATGTAAGAAAAGGCTAAATGAGGCAAACATTACCTCTCACAGAAACAGTTTGACTGGTGCAAGCCATGCAGTTTGTGTACACAGAAACATGTTAGCTGATGCCAGTTACCAACTGCTTCGAGTTGATACACCTCTAGAGTGGCTTTTACTTACTTCCATTTTCATCCTCCCCTCTCCTTTCCACGAACCTCTCATTAGAAAAGGGCAACCATGCAGAGTATGATACAAACCCCAGTCAATGTCACCCAGGGCTCCGACTCCTCTTTTGTACCTGCTTTGCAATGATAGAATGTTCATCAACAATGTCTGTTTCATCACCAATGTGTATCCAGTTCACAAAAATGCCAGGGACCTATTGTTTCAGAAAGGTCTTTGAGGTTGCAAGAATTTATCAGACACTGCCCTAATTATTGGGGGCAAAATAAAAAGAAGACTTTTTGTTTGAAATGCAGGTGAGCACAATCCTAAGTAGTCTTTTTTTTTCTACGAAGATGAAATATAACCTGGACGGTTTAAAAAAAAAACCTGAAGTACAGCACAACATTTTTGAAGAAGCACTGTTTTCTAATTGCGCATCAAGCTGATTATAACACTATGTTCACAGGTTATCCAGTTGTAGAATTCAATCCAAAGGAAAACATATGTGCCAAAGTCCAGTGGAAAAAAGAACCGTTTTTGTCTAAAATCCCCAAATCCTTTTTAATCTGTGCTTAATTAGGTACTGAAGTTTATGGTTTCTAAGGGGAATCTTAATATTTATTCTGTTGTTCTTGAACTGCATATTACAACTCCTTGTCAAACACTCCAGGCATTTTAATTCATGATATGGATTATTTCCACAAGCCTTTATAATCCTGCAAATTACATCTAACAGCAGTTGATGTCAAATACTACACTGATTCATCTACAAGAGAAAACTATATGAGCTATTTTCGGCCTCATACCCCCTCCAGATGCTTTGAACAAGGCCTATCTATTCCAGCTTGCACGTATCTTGCTCTGGAAACCATTTGGCTAGTAAAAACTAACTAAAATAAAATGCCTGTTAAGTATATACAAGTAATATGCTATTTTATTTACAATGCTAAACAATCACTATCAGAAAGTTGAACAAGTACTTGAAATAACATTACATGGTGACTATGTTATTTCACAGTACAGAGGAACTAAATCTACAATACTATTAATATATTTTCCAGTACAAAGGTACAGTAAGTCAAGATTGCTTATTATTGAAATAAATAACTATAAAGTCAACAAATGATGTGGGAAACGTGTAAAAGTTTTTAAATTCTGAATTGTTTTGCTCTGACTATATTGCTTCTATGGCAATTTGTCTTTAAATCTCCCTATACTAAACAAGACTTTTTATTTAATTTATTTATTTTATTTATTTATTTATTAGATTTGTATTGCCGCCTATTCGCCATGGCTACTCAAGTGAAGTAGTAAATTTCTTGTAACTAGCTAGGGCAAGCCATTTCTTCTTCCTACTGTAAAAAAAGGCTGACAGGTCTACAATCAGTTTACAGGACAAGCAAATGAAATCTAATAAAAGCACCTAGCAGTAAGAATGCCTGAGAGAGGAAGTATTCAACACCACTGTAATGGAAAAAAAAATGATATTCAGACTGGTGCAGGTATAGTTAGGAACGAAAGAGGTAAGAAATCACAATTTACCAGATTCATTCAATGCCAAGAAAAGCCCACACAAATGGGAACGCCAAGACCCAATCCTGGGTGCAAGGGTGAATACCTATAAGAAAAACACAGAACGAACTACAGTGAGCAGACCATGTCTGCCACTGACTATTTCTGCAAAGTTTGTAATTACTTCAGAAATGAAACTTCACTTAAACCAATGTTAAGTATTTAAAGAATATTGTACCAAATCAATATTTCTCACATACAGTAAACAACATTTCTTATGGCCATGTGTAAGAGACAGTGGTCTTCATTATTATTATTTTTTACTTCTAAATGGACACAAACATGATTGGGGAATGGGGAGAGTGAAGTTGCCAGAGTTGCCTTTATTATCTATAACAGTGTTATGCTAAAGAAGGAGCAATAGTAAAATGAGGGGAAAAATAATGTGGATGGACACTGCAGCTAAATTGAGTATCACAAAAACTCACATTTACTGCTGAAACCGCTATGTGTGCTTATGTATGTATGTGCACAGTCTTTTATTATATTTGAAATGTAGAATATCAAGGCTACTAAAATGATAAAGGCCCACAATAATATAGAAAAAGGAATTGCAAATGGAGCTGAAATTCTAATTTCCAATTACTGGAAATATATCTAACTCCATTCTCTTATCTGGATTCAGGGCAGACAATCCTTTTTTTTTCTAATCTGCATTCTGTAGCCACAGTGTCCACAACATCAGGAATATATCATTGAAAAATGCTTCCAGAGTGCTAAAAGGCAGTTCACTGTGCTTCTAAATTTTTTTCCACAAAGATAAGAAGCCTTGCTCCAAAGCATATTAACGACAGAAATCAGATCATTACTTCCATGACAGAACATTAATTAGCCCTTACATGAAATCACTAATTACGTTCTTGTCTGCTTTTAAGCTGCAGGTAAAATAAAGTGTATTTTTATCATTACACTGATCTAATATAGGAGTATCATCAGGCGTTGGTTTAAGCTCCTAAGAAGGTCCAAAATCAGGAGTATTCCAACCTTTGCAAATAGGAGAAATCTATATATCAATCCTGTTCTTAAGTGCCCCCTCCCCAATTGTTTTGTTATTACACAAATGCTTACTTTGTTGGAGGATCTTGCATTGCTTTCAGGAGAGAGTAATATTGGCAGGCATTGATTTCTGAAGTAAGGGAAGATTATTATAGCATACCATTATGCTTTCTCCTATACATTTTTCACCTGGGAACTCCTGGTCGGGTTTCCTGTTCATTGTAGCAATCGTGTAAGATCAGCGCTGTCAGTCCCTCCAGATGAAATCTAGGTCCTCCTGAAGGGGGACAGAGTACTGGGACAGGGGAAGCTTCAGAAGAGCACAGCATTCAGAATATCCAAGGAAGTCAACTTCCAAAAAACTCGCTTTATTCAACTTCAGCACTCAACCTAGTAATAATTCCTAAAAACACCAAGCACTGGTTCTCCTAGATCTATCATGCTTATCCCATTTTCCTTCAAGAGAACAGTCTACCGTTTTCTTCGTTGGTGAAAAAAGTAAATTAATTTTTTGTATCCCAACTTTTCTTTTTGAAGTAGGAAATAACTGGTTATATGAATTTGGTTACCATTATAAACTAAAAGATTATTTTTGATAGTAATATACGGGACACTGTCTGAAAATCAAGGGCAATTTAGTTTTATTTGTTATTAAGGCTGTGCTCCTAAACATGCTTACTTATGGAGTAAATCTGAAAAAATATGGTGGAATACGGACTGCTATTTGAGATACCAATCTCTACTGAACAATTAGTATTGTTTTATTTCTATTTTGGCCTAATATTTAACAAATACCCTCTTCAAGAAATCACCGTGATTCAAAAAGCAAATAAATACAGTAAGGCTAAAAAGAAATGTGTTCCACATGTACTGTGAAGAATTTAATATTTGTGTATTTGTGAACTGATTACATCATTGATGATAATGCAAACAGACTGAAATTGTTCTTTCTTCAAAAATATCAAAAACCCCTAATACCCAAACATTTTAAATTACATTGCTTAAAATTCAAGCAAATAAAAACACAAATTGCTTTTTAAAATTGGCTTGCTTTCTACAACGTAAAGCACATTAACAAACATAACCCTCTGCGTATCCTTCTCTTATTTTAAGTGATAGTTAAATTTCAATGTAAGTTTTTAAAAAAACCTTATACAATGTATACTTAAAATTTCATTTCTCAGAAAAATTACCAATAATTTACCAGAGTCAACTGACATACCCAACACCTATTCTTTTAAGAAAATGGTAAATATTTATTATATGTAATAAGAGTAAATTTATTTGTTTTTCATATGATTTCACTTGCAAAAAAATTAACAGCCTGATCATATGCAGCATTCAAGTCCTACTGAGTGTCAACAATCTTATTTGCTAATAATCTTATTTGCAACTAAACTTAAATGCTGTAAGAAAGACTTTTCATTCAGGAATTCTGTATGCATATAGGTTGTATATAACAATTGTATAGATTTTGTCATCTTTCTTACTTCATTCAAGAAACCAACATTTCTGGTAATACAATTGAAACCTCTCAAGTGAAGAATATTCAGGGATATTACACACTCAACAAAATCTAACATTTACTGCTTCAAGGTGCTTTTGATTTGCCTATTCATTGGGAAAAAAATCATCATTCTTACAAGGAGACAGCTCCAATAACAGAGTAATTTCTCATATACATAGACCTCTAAATTTGGGTGATAATGTGGAGACATACAATATCACAGAATTAAAAAGCTCAACATTCTTATCTCATAAATCTCTGAGAAATCTTCTACCCAACTATCTTCATACCAAAGGTGATAGAAATCACACGATGCAAACTACATCAATCCACAAACAGAGCTGCAAGAGTTTCATCTCCATATATTTGTACATCCAACAAACACCTTTTATTAAAAAAGTACCTACTCTATGTACCAGGCCTCCAATAACTGTTCTACTCAAGTAATGAATAATTGCCTGAGAGTTGTATGAGGTGAAGAAAAAAAGCAATATTATATGTGATTCCCCTAATAGACTATATTATAAATGAGAGATTTATAATCCAAAGCATATAATATAAAGATTACTGTAAGTATAAGAGACCTGAACAAAATGCTTGGGGTTAAGAAAACTAAGAGTCAATTTCTCCTATATTAGAATCCTTAAAAACAGAAGCAGTAGCAGCTACATATATGTACACTACATACATTAATTTCAAAGCTTCAATCTTCTGTGAAGAATACCTATGAGCAGTCCTCAGCTGTCAACATTTTGAAATAGGTGGGAAGGGCTAATTAAGTAGTTACAAAATGTTCACTGCTTAAAAAAAGATATGCCCCTAGATGTGTCACTCAGGCATCTTGTGAAAAACAAGGAAAAAAAGTTATTGCAACATCTTCTGGGATGTCATGATTCAAGATTTTTCAATTTTTTCAGCTTTCATTAAAATTAGCATGTACCAATTAGGTACTCTGCCAATTATATTATAGAAAGTATGGCCTTTTTTGTGAACTGTACATGGGTGCTGAATACCAGGCATATAATGGAAGTGAACTTTTTGTTAAAATGGCTGCTGTAAGTTAATAATTACCAACAATTCTCCACTTTTATTTCATAGAGAAAACCCCTTCATGAAGAAATATTTACATATAGTGTATTTACAGTATTTCCCATATAGTTTAATTACAAAAGTGTAAAAGTATATAATACATTTTATCAACAAAACACAAATATAAAACTCTGGTTACTGTATCTAAATGCACTGATTCAACTACAATGCTTTTAAAAAACAAGCAGGCTCCAACTAACAGGGCTTTGAAAAAAGCCAATCAGAATTAGACAATCATAAAATTAATTGATAGATCAGCGAGCATGACAAATATATAAATAATTGTTTATTCAGACTGTAAAAATGTACTTGCCAAGCATACAATCCCACAACATAAGGGACTTTTGAACTTTCCAAAACTATAAATTCTCAAACTATAGTTCCTACAATCTTAACAGCACCTTTATGATTTCAGCTATAGAAACAGCAGATACAACATAGGCTCTGTGAGCGGATCAGTACCAGCCATATAAAACCCAACTGTAAAAACTATCCAAACAGTCTTTATTTTCATTATCTTTGCATTGTTTCTGAGCAACTAATAAATGCAAATAAATGTGTGTTACTCTGCCGCTGCCCTATTAATATGCACAATCGTATTCTGCAGTCAAAGGAAAAAAACCCTCTCCTCAATTTGCAAAGACTACATGTCTACTTTCATTAACTTGCCTCCTACTGATGTCCCCATCCAGTATGGGCCATTGTTCTTATGATTTAATAAAGATAATGATAATAACTTCTTAATGTTGCCTTTACAATCTAGAAAACCCTAGAATCTTCTCCTAAGCGCCAAGAATACTGTTAGTTCAGGCCAGAGTTCGGCAAACTTCTAATTCTCCACTTTGAAAGATATGCACAACAAAAGCAAGCAAGTGAATTTTTACAGCCATATTGACCATTGAGTTCCTATCCAAATTGTACTGAAATCAGCATCAAGACTCAGCTTAAACTAATAGAAAAGCCCATAGAATTGGAACCACATTTCAAGACAATTTCAGCACAAAGTAACAGTAACCCTAGGAGAAATTATAAGTTATTTCTAAACAGGTGAGCACATATCAGTCTCCCAGTTTCTAAAGTCCGCCTATCAAACCACTATTAACACAAGAGCTATTAAGCAGTGTAAATACAGAATTCAAAACACATTGTGACAAAACACAAAAATAAATGCTTTTAATTTATTTTTCTGCATATATTTTAGGATGTTATTAATGTCCTAAGAGTATCAGTATCACTTCTTCCAGTGATTTCAAAGGAATTTAAATTGTGACATTTGGACTCATCTGTCTGAATATCATCTACCTTTTTAACCCATGCTTGGGGACCGCTGTTGGATAACTGTTCAGAAGTCAAGACCTGTGCTCCAGTGCTGCCTGTAAAATGACCTGGTATAGTATTCAGCTCAGCCCAGGCATCAATCTGCAATTACAAAGGAGCATATTAATTAATTAAAATATTTCCAAGCACTAAGAATATATCAAAATAACTTCCTTGTTGTAGTGATTCTTGCTATATCAATTTAAGTCTTGGTACATTTCATTTCAAAACAATTTAAGATAATACTTTCTGAAAAACATTTCCAAGAGTTAACATTATTTCAGTATTTAAATGTTAAGTTATGACTATTTGAAGAGCAATAGAAGAATATAGATGGAACAATATAGATTCCTCTCTGAGCGGGGAAAATCCCTCAGAACTTTCGGAAAACTGCAGAAGGTTCACTTTATTTTGATATAAACCTTACTCTGTACCTTAGAGTGTGACCTTATCTTACTATTTCCTAAGGCTTTTGACCAGCTATGCTACAATACAGGTAGTCCTTGACTTACGACCACAATTGAGCCCAAAATTTACGTTGTTAAGTGAGACATTTGCTGAGTGAGTTTCACCTCATTTTATGACCTTTCTTGCCACAGTTGTTAAGTGAATCACTGCACTTGATAAATTAGTAACATGGTTGTTAAGTGAATCTGGCTTCCCCACTGACTTTGTCAGAAGGTTGCAAAAGGGACATGTCACGTTTTTCAGTGGCGTTGTAACTTTGAAAAGTCACTAATTGAACTGTTGTACGTTGAGGACTACCAGTAAATTGTTGATGGTCCTTAAAAACTTGGACATACCAGGCTACCTTATTTGCCTACTGAAGAATTTATAAGGGATCTATCAGAAGCAACAGTTAGAATGGAATACAGTATTGAGTAACTAAATGCTTTAAAACCAGGAAAGGAGCGTGCAGTAATGATTCTTAAACTGTTTGACTAAATTACCCCCTTTCCCAATGTTAAATAATGTTATTACAGAAGATAGAATAAATGACTATACATTATACATAAATGGTGGAAAATGGGAGAAAAAGTTTGGAATTTGATAAACCATTAACTGAAGAGGGAAAAATGGATAGCAAAAATTTAAAATGTATAAACATGGGCAGAAAGATAGTGGATTGTATGAATCTTGCTGCACAAAATGAACAGAAGTTAAATTGGCTACACATAAGTCTGAGGCATACCATTTTATTAATCAGAAGTTAGTTTGGTGTATCAGGAGAAACATAAAAATTGAATGCAGTGGGAATGTGTTATTTTAAAATTTTGTGTTGTAAAAAAATAAGGTTAGGAATGAATGGCATGTGAATATGGATTTAATTCACAACTGAAAACAGTATAAAAGAGATATAGGTGATTTGATCATGTAGAAATAATGTATAAGAATTGAAATGAAAAACAAACAAGTGAAGCAAGAATTAGGAAGGAGAAGATCAAGGAAACTGACATTGGATTCAGTAAGATCCTCTAAAAAGTGAGAAGTTTAAAAACAAAAGCAATTTTGAATCAGTACATTTATATAGTCAAAGAAAGGACAGTTTTCCAAAACTGAAAGGCATGGAGAGGTAAAGAAAAAGATGCAGATACAAATTAGATTTCATCATTTTCTTTCAATTTTGCTTATTTTTTTATTTTTATTTTTACTTTTGTTTTGCTTATCACTCATCCTAAGGAAACAATTAAATGCGTATTTATATATGGGAACATGTAAACAGCATTGTCTTAAAGAAACTTAAAAGTTTGAAATTAATACTGCCATAAATATGTAAAACTGGTAAGATTTTACATCCTTCAGTTTTTAATAAAATTTTCAAGATAAAATAGGGAAATAGAAACTATAACTTACCCGTTCTTGTGCCCGATTTAACAAGCACATTGCCTCCAAATCAAATGTATTTTCCGTTAGTCTCTTTTGGGCTATTGTCCGTTCATTCAGTGCTGATGAAATGTCCACAGGCTGAAAATAATAATAAAAAAATATTATCTTTACTCCATGTACTTAGGTAAACATTCTCCTACAGAGGAATACAAATTTTTATCTAATTACAAGCCAATGTTGTGCCCGCTAGGTTGGCCCGTTACCCTGCTGTTTGGCAAGCTGCACCACTTGCTAGTTTGCTTCAATTCAAAGTGTTGGTTATCACCTTTAAAGTTCTTTGTAACATGAGACCAGGTTACCAGAGGAATAATCTCATTCCAATGGGATTGGTCTCCAACCACATTAGCAGAAAGGACATCATCCCAATGGTCAAGGAATTCTGGCTGCCATGGCACATGCCTTCTGGAACATCTTACTCCCCAAGATGATCTGCAATAATACCTTTAAACCATCAAACATCTGCCTGTGTCAGGTCCTGGATAAAAATGCCAACTCCAGTGTAACTATCTGACTGTATAATCAGCCATAAAAATAACTTTAATAACACAATATATAGCCTATTCTAATTGTCAAATTATATGCATGGGGCGGTTGCTTTTTCTTATTTATAAAAGCATACATTTTCTAAAATGGAATTTATATTTCAACTTTCCTCTGGAATTTGTATCACTAAAATAACTAGTTTGACAACTTGACTGGAGCAGGGGAACAATCTAAAAACAGCCCATACTTAATTGAGAATTGTTCAGTTTGCATACTAGGTTATAATCTAATGTCTCTACATTTAATGAAAGATTTATAGCCAGTATAAATCCACTCTCAACTTTTTACCTCCAAATTGGCTGGATTGGGAAACACATCATCCTTGTCCTCATCCTTGTCCTTCTCAACTGGAACCCATTCCCCATATGCACTATCTGCTTCTTTTTTCCTGTGTTGAGATCCTGAAGAAACTGGAAACTCTTTTGTCAGAGTTACCTGATTTTTTGGAGGTGTTGGTTTTATTGTAGGAGTCTTTAGGAGGGGGGAGAGAAAGAATATAATAAACACACTTACAATTATGAGCCCACGTACTACATATACACATATAAGTGAAATCCTAGCACTGCACTGGCAAAACATGTGTGACAAACTGAGCGAGCAACAAGCCATGTTTCCAACAATCCAGATAATTTTATCACATTTTTATCATTTAACTATCACAAATAATATGTATAAGGTATCATTCCAAACTCCATGATACAAAGCAAAATAAAACTTTTTTAAAATAAATGTTTCAAAAGTAGCGGGGGAAGCAGTAAAATAAATGGTGATATCTGAATTCATTCTTCATCAACTTTGTCAACAGTATCTGAGGCAGAACAAAGTCCCACTAAAAGCAAATACTGCCTCTTTTCTCTTTTTCCATTAAACTATCTCTTGAGAAGAATTCTACTCAAGGAAAATCCATATAACATAAATTCATTATTATAGGAAATAAGATTGTTTGCAAATATTTGCCATCCAGGTTATGAAAACAGACATCAGAGCCAAAGGCACATTTGTCTTGATCTATCCTAAAAAATTACAGCAAGTTTATTTAAGTAATCATGGCAGGTCATACTGTAATGCATATTAATTATTGCTTTTTAGCTATTTTATTTTTATTTAAAAATCTTTTTTTTAATTTCAATTTGTATTATCTTTTACTACTGCTGAAATCTCTAATAAAAAGCATTTTAAAAAGATTTTGAAATGATGCTAAGGAGATATTAAACAGTTTAGGTTTCCATCTAAACTCCTTATTTTACCCTGCTCACCATCATGTAAACCTTCTAATACATCAAAAATTAAATGCGACCTCATACATAATTTTAATTTTCATAACAGAACATCCCTTCATCCAATTCCAAATCTCCAAAACAATTTTTGAGGAGTCTGGGACCTATATGAGTATTAGAAATCATTCGTCTTTCCGATTCTGCTAAACCTTGTTCCATAAATTATATGAAACAAATTAAATGGTTCACTGTTTCAATAGTGTAAAATGTATTACTGTGTGTTGTCTAAATATTCAGTAACCTGAAGGCAGGCATGTAACTTCTATCTTTTCACCCCTTATAACTCTATACACATTTTGCTTTTTAAAATGTTGGTGAAATTCATTAAAAAACCCAGAATATGCCTAAATGTAGCTACAGCTTATTACAAGTGTTGTTAACACTGTTAGTATTTATCTGCAATTAATAATAAATCATACTGGTGTATTCCCCTTGTCAGTAAAGTATTTTGTAAAAAGTATTTAAATGAGACAAAATGCAGCTAGAAGTGATTTTACAATACGTACAGTTAAATTGAAAAAAATAGGCTTGGGCTCATTCAGCTTAAAGGGATGGTTGATAAAAGGATGTTCCTCCTCTTCTTCATCAGAAACATGAGGCTTATTTACAATGACATCATCTTCCTGGCTTTGGGCAATCTTCTTGCATTTCTGAAAATAAAGTCAATATTATATAGTATATAATGAAATAAGTATTCTTAAAGGATCAGGGAGATAAATGTATATAATGACATTTCCTAAAATATGACAATAAGTTAAAAAACTAGACTCAGAACATCCACTAAAACAATATAACCGAACCTGCTATTACTGCCATTTAGAGTTACGAAGCCAAATGATTCAGTCAATCTGAGAGCTAACTAGTTTACTTCTAGAATACAGGGACGCATAATTTTATCCCAGATAAAGAACAAACCAATTTTATTATTCCTATCATGTAAAAGCCGGTTTGGCTAGAAAATGGGAAATCATGAATTCTAGTCCACCTGTCAGGTGTAACTCCATTCAAAACCCAAGAAAGAAAACCTTAGACTCCATTGTAAGAGAAAAGGACTTTTACTGAATTTGAAATGGTAGCATCAGAAGTAATACAAGATCTGAGGCAATAGGCGCAAAAATTACATATACAAAGTTATCCCATGTCCCCACCCACAATAGTTCAAATTGTCCATCCAAGGTATGTATAATGTCATGTGGGTGCATCTTCAGATGGCGTTTCACACATCTGGTATGCCAAGACAGTTGACCTTGCCCTACAGAGATAAGAAGCTACATCTGCGCAGTAAGCAAGTGAGCATAATCAAGAACTTTTACAATTCACAAACTTCATCCTCCAGCACCCTTTCCCCCACGAGGCCCAATTATTCTTCCCTCCCCCTGTTTCTATGGCAGCCGGAAAGACAAGCAGAAGAAGGATTCTTGGAGGCTGACATTCGGCCCTCCTGCAAGAGGCGTTAGCCCTAGAAAAGAAAAAAGAGTAAAACAATAGGAAAATAAACATTCCAGAGACAATATTATATATAAAAGAATTTAAATTTGTCAGGATATTTCAAACGAAATGCTTGTATAAGCTTAGGGGCTCTAACATCACATTCATTCACCCATTCCAACTGAGGAGGGAAATACTTCCAAACAACAAATTGGAGTCTTCCTCTCTGTTTCCTTGAATCTAAAATCTCTTTAATCTCAAAATGTTGCTCGTCTTCAATTAGAAGAGGAACTGGTGGGGCGGCCTGGTGAGGTCGCAAGTATTTTCAGGTTTCAACAAACTAACATGAAAGCCGAGGTGGATCCTTCTAAGTTTTTGGCAATTGTAATTGCACTGCAACGGGATTCACAATTCATACAATTGGGAAAGGTCCCACATATTTAGGTCCCAATTTATTAATTTCTGGGTTGTTTGTAAATACTTAGTGGACAAGAAGACTTTATCCAACGCTTAGTATGGTTTTTGTAGAACTCTCTTCTTGTCTGCTTGTTTTTTATGAGCTTGATGAGCATTATCTAATGCTTTACAGGTAACTGACCATGTAAGCTGGAGTTTTGTTCACTCTGTTAATGATGGAACACTGGGTTTCTCCTGTGGTAGCTCTGGGATGGGTATAAAATTGTGACCCAGAGCTACCTTGAACGGGGTGAAACCAGTGCTCCTGTGAACAGAATTGTTGTAAGCCACCTCTACGAAAGAGGTCAGACTAATCATCCTGTTGATAATTGATATAACATCTAAGATATTGTTCCAATACCAACTTAGTTCTCTCACAGGCCCCACTGGTTTGTGGGTGGAACTTAAGCAGTGGGCGGAGCCCAATAACTTCAAGAATTTCTTCCAGAAGTTTGAAGTAAATTGGACGCCCCTATCTGAAATTATCCATTCAGGAACACCATATAGTCTATACACATGTAAAATAAATAGTTTAGCCAAAGCTTTTGTAGAAGAGATTTTTGCACAGGATATGAAATGTACCTGCTTGGAAAATAGGTCAGTAACCACCCAAATGACTGTATTTTCCCCACTCTCAGGCAATTCCATAATAAAGCCCATGGAAATTTAGCTACATGTTGTAGACCGGCAGTTTTCCAGGTAGCCATTTGGCCGAAGCACAAACAGGACAACTAGCTACATACACTTCTATGTCTTTTTTCAAAGATGGCCACCAAAATTGCCATTTGACCAAATGTAAGGTTTTCACAAAGCCAAAATGTCCAGCAGCTTTCGAATTGTGGGCTTGTTTAAAAGATGGCTCCACCTAAGGCTAGCTGGGACATATAATTTGGCCCCCACCCATGCTAGACTATGGCGAATATTACAATCATTTGAATGGGTTAAAAACCAATCATCCAATTTTAAAGCTTCCTTTAACTGTACAGTTAGATCATTTGAGCACCCCACTTTTTCTGGGCTCTTGTGACCATTGGAGCAGCCAGTTGCTTTGTAGGAATAATAGGATGGATCATTTCTGGGCGGACACTGTTATATTAGGGCAATCTAGATGGAGCATCAGCCATAAATCCCCCCCCCCTGGGGACAGGTATTTTAATGAAAAATTAAACCACTTAAAGTGTTGCGCCCAACAAATTTGCTTGGGAGACAATTTTCGAGGGGTTTTAAAGGCCTCTAGGTTTTTATGATCTGTCCACACCTCAAAGGGGTGTTTTCCTCCTTCGAGAAAATGCCTCCAAGTTAATAATGCCCACCGGACAGCAAACACTTTTTTCCCAAATAGCCCATCTCCTATTGGTCTCTGTTAGTTTTCAGGAGGTGTAAGCACAAGGTTGTAAAGTTCCACTCTCATTTGACTGAAGCAGCACCGCTCCCACCACTACATCACTTGCATCAGCCTGGATCACAAAAGGGATCCAAATCTGGATGCTTAAGCACCGGTTCAGCTGCAAAGAGTTGTTTCAGCTTCTCAAAAACCACCTGGCACTCCATGGACCATTCCAATGGTTGACTGGGTTTTGGTTTCAATTCTCCCTTAGTCTTAAGAAGGTTTGTAATAGGCAATGCAATCTTTGCGAATGCTGGGATAAATTGATGGTAAAAATTAGCGAACCGTAGAAAACTCTGCAACTGTTTTCTGGTACGAGGGGGAGCCCATTCCAAAATGGCCCAGACTTTTTCCAGGTCCATTTCTATCTTTCATGCGATATGCGGTAACCCAAATAGTCAATTTTCTCTTAATGAAATTCGCACTTAGCATAGTTTAGCCGCCTGAAGTTTTTTCAAAACTGACCGCGCCAATTTCACATGCTCCTCCAAAGTCTCTGTATAGATAAGGATGTCAAGATAAACAAACACCCCCTTGTATAGATGTTCATGCAGCACCTCATTTATCAGCTGCATGAATACAGTAGGGGCTCCTTGCAGACCAACTGGGAGAACGTTAAATTGGAAACAGCCCAAAGGGCAATTAAATGCAGTTTTCCATTCGTCTCCTTCCTTAATTCGGACTCGGTAGTATGCTTTCTCAAATCAAGCTTAGTGAAAAAATTTCCCTTGGCAAGGTGAGCTAACATGTCCTTCATTAAGGGTAGTGGGTAAATGTTTTCTACACAAATTCCGTTCAGGTTCTGGTAGTAGTCAACACATAAGTGAAGAGAGCCGTCTTTCTTTTCTTGAAACAACACTGGAGCCGCCACTCAAGGCCGGGAAGCCTGGATGAAACCTCGCTTAAGATTTTTATCGATAAACAAACGCAATTCCTCAAATTCTCGCGGTGTCATCGAATACAGTTTAGGGAGCTTCACCCCTGAATGTCAGTGCTGCAATCTGTGGGGCAATGAGGGAGCACATCCAATGCTTTCTCGCTAAAAACCTCCCTTAGGTCCCAATATTCTTCAGGGATTTTTTCCTCCTATACAATGCTTTCACTAGCCATCAACGTCCACTCCATGGAATTCTGGGACTCCACAGCTCCTTTCCTTCCGATACTTGGTTGGTGCATATGCGCAGCAGCCCTTTCCTCCAGTTCACTTGGAGATTCCATTTCCTAAGCCAGGGCAATCCAAGTAATAAGGGGCGCTCCATCCCAGGGGCCACAATAAGACACAAAGTCTCTCGGTGTCTTCTCATCGACATTTCCACTGGCTCCATTATAAAATGAGCAGAGACATCTATTGATCCATCCGGTTGGCAAAAGGCTATGGGAGTTTTTAAAGTTCTTAGCTTCAATCTCAGTTTCTCCAAGACTTCTGAGCTAATTACACATCTAGTACACTCAGAGTCAGCAAGGCCAACGATCTCCCCTGAGTGCCAGTGGTAGGCTCCCTGAATTCCACTGGGATGGTCATGGGGCCCCTTTGTGGACTTACCAGAGGATCATCATCGGAGTCGGACTCAGTTTCGCCAGAAGGGGTCAGAGTTCCCAGTTCCTCTCTTCCTGGAGGAGCGAACTCAATAACCTCCACCACTTTCAGGGCTGTTTTGCGCAGCGTGGCTGGGGTGGTTTTCAACTTTTTTCCTCCTGCCGGTGTCCCCTTAGCACAGCAATCTGCAGCCCGACGCCTCTGTGGTGCTGCCCCCCCAGGGGGGCTTGGGCTACAGCAGCTGCTTGAGCTGGCCTGGGCTGAGCTATTGGAATGGCCTGCAGAGCTCCAATTGCTTCTGCCCCCTTCTCTCTCCCCCAGGCTCTTCACAGGTCAGCAATTCATATCTTTTTTCAGCTTTGCGACCCTTCATGGCCTCATTAAACAGATGCAAAGCTTGGGTCACCAGAAGATCTTTTCGGTTTTCCTCCTGCCATGCAGCTTCTCCATGCCGATGTCTGGCAGTCATCACCCCAGGAGGGGGTTTCTTCCAGCAATTTCCATCCTACTCCCAGAGACCATTTGGGTCAGACCACTGGTTTCTCTTCAATCTGCAACCCCGCCAGCAACTCAGCCTCCTCGAGTGTTGAGAAGCAGTGAGGCTGTAGGTTCCAGTAGCCCCCAGATCTTCTTGATTTCTGGTTGATTTAGACATTGTTTTCAGACCCCCTCAGAAGATAAAAAAGTAAATCTTCAGGTGGGCTAGTAAAAACAGAGATCTTGTATAATGTCAGGTGTAGCTCTATTCAAGAAAGAAAACCTTAGACTCCATTGTTATAGAGAAAAGGACTTTTACTGAATTTGAAGTGGTAGCATCAGAAGAAATACAAGATCTGAGGCAATAGGCGCGAAAATTACATATACAAAGTTATCCCATGTCCCCACCCCCAATAGCTCAAATTGTCCATCCAATCTGAGGTATGTATAATGTCATGTGGGTGCATCTTGATGGCGTTTCACACATCTGGTATGCCAAGATGGTTGACCTTGGCCTACAGAGGTAAGAGGCTACATCTGCGCAGTAAGCATAATCAAGAAAGCATCCCAACTTTTACAATTCACAAACTTCATCCTCCAGCACCCTTCCCCCCATGAGGCCCGATTATTCTGCCCTCCCTCACCCCGGTTCTATGGCAGCCGGAAAGGCAAGCAGAAGGATTCTTGGAGGCTGACAGCACCTTTGGCAAAAAGGTTTAGCCAAGAATCAACACTGACTCAAAGGCACACCCAAACATACACAAATCAAGTTAAAAAAATAGACTTGGTTCAAGTTGCACTTATTTGTGCCCTTGTGCTAAATCTAATATTTTTCAAACAGGGTGGGTTTTTTTTATTTTGAAAACTAAATATACCACAAACAGTTTTCAAAAAATCAGTAGTATGACAGGATGCAAAATGATTTCAAATTCATGATGCTCTGTTCTGTTTCAATTTTGGAATTGCCTGAGAAAATGGCCATTCTATATTTAAAATGATCAGTTTGCACCTAAAGGTGCTTCAAATTTGACATTTTGGCACACCTCCATACATCAGTTTCATTTTGTTCCTGTTACCTCAGTCAGTTCCAATATTGTTTCTTTTGCTGACTTTTGAGTAACTTTCTCTTCCTTCTTCTCTGGAGTTATAACAGGCATCAGACTTGGTGGGAGAGGAACACCAGCCTTAGCACACATTGCTGCTGCATTTGCCTTGGCTATTTCAAGTAACTGTGCCTTATCTAAAAGAAAAAGGAAATTATATTTTGTCAGTCTCGTGGTACGAACTTACAGAATTCAAGTGCTGGTTTGAAACTTGGACAATCATGTACCTCTTTCCAAATATCTGTTCTAGAATCCTCACCCACTCAAGAAGTCAGTTATTAAGTCTGTGTGTTCAGTTAGAGTAGAACAGGTGGTATAAGTTTTGAATAGAGAAGTTGATGGAATTGGTTGAAACAGCAAAATTAACCACTTTGATTAAAGAAAAGAACGTATTTTTGTTTTCAAATGCAGACCGCTTCTGAACTTCATGCTTGACATGGGAAAGAATGAAACTCTTAACTTTGGGTTTTATCGATTAGCCTGATAGATCTTTATAGAAATAGCTCGTTCATATTATTATGAAAAAGCAAAAAGTTGTGGTTTGATGTTCATGCCTTATTTTACTATAACGTATGATGCTTACTATACGTAAGATGCTAAGGAAAGAGGAGGTTTGGGTTTATCAGATTTGAAATTTTTTTTCAATGTTTGCTGTTTGGTCTGGCTAAGAGTGCTAATCTTCAGAATAAGAGGTGACATGATTTAGAGGCCACAAATTAAGATTTGAATGGAGCAGCTATTTATGGTATGACAAGGTTAAAGTAAATGTCTATTTTAATAACCATTTTGTTAGACGTGCCCTCCTAAGAGTTTGGAATAAATATAAACCAAGGTTTTCTGTGAAGATGCCTCTCTGGGTGTCCAGCCAGGAAACTTTTCTTAGAAAGGAATGGTGACTAAGCCAGACTGGTAGACTTATGGTCAAATAATATATTTTAATTTTGATGATCCTAAAATCTAAAGAGGAATTAGAATCAAAAGGACTCATCTGCCATTGGTTTGCATATTTACAATTGAAAGAAAAATTTAAATCAGAAAAAAAGATTTATGGGTTTGATTGCAAATAAGATCTATAAATTATTATTGAATTTGGAGAATGATATGTAAAACATTACATTATTCAGAAGCCAAGAAACTTTGGATATAATGTAATGAACAACGGGAGAATACATGGACGAAAGGTCTAAAATTTATAATAAATTATAATTTAAAAGAAAAAATTTATAAGATGATGTATCATTGGTATTTAACACCAGGTAAGTTGTCAAGAATGTATTTCAAATGAATGTAAAGAAGGGATCTTTTCACTTATGGTGGCCATGTGATAAAGCAAAGAAATATTGGAGTAAGATTCACATCTTAATGCAGAAGATTCTCAAAGTAAATATAAAGATAAAATCAGAAACTTTTATTCTGGGTTTAATGGAAAGATTTGGAAAAAAAATTGGAACTTTGATGTTATGTATGTTGACAGCAGGACTACTTTACACACAAAAATGTATGGACACTTTGATTCCCACAATGGATGAATGGTTGCAAAAGTTGATGGAGGTTAGCAGAAGTGGCCACACTGACTGCTTTGATCAAAGAAAAAAATACAATTACTTTTGTTTCTACTTGGAAACCCCTTCTGAACTTTGAGGTAGAAAAAAATGAAACTTTTGGGTTTTATCAATTAAATAGGTTTGCTGTTATAGAAATAGCAAGTTTATATTATGATGTGAAAGTAAAAAGTTGATGTTTGTTGCTATTGTCTTATTCTACTGCACCAAAGGAAGTGAGAAATCAACACCTTTTTTTCCCCCTTTGCCCTACATTTTCCCTTCCTTTCCCCCTCCATTATTTTCCTATTTTCTTTTGTATTTTTGTACTTTGTACTATAAATTAATAATATAGAAAAAAATAAGAAAAAAGTATAACGCCAAATAGTCAAGATATTTGAAAGCTATTAGCTGGAAGTGATTATCAGAAATGAAAGACTTATATTAATAATTAATTGTCTTTTGTCTTCCAAGTCTTCCTGCCCATTCTGGTCATCTTGGATATTTTTCTCCAAATACTAATCAGCATCAAGATGCATATAAATGCAATGCAAAACCTAAATTGTGGAACCCAAAGTTGGTTTTCCAAAAGGCAACTGGATTTTGTTTTTCCTTGAAGTTATTTTGCTTCTCATCCAAGAAGCTTCTGAAGGGCGGGGAATAGCTTTGAACACATTTATGATGTGAAATTAATATATGAATGCCAGCATAATCAAGATAATTTTATCTAGCTAGAAGAAACATTGCTTACCCAAGTCAGTGAGACGTTTTGGTGATCTGCTTGAAGATCTAGACCGTCGATGATCAGGTGATTTACTAGTACTTCTTCTTCTTCCTGTAGACCTAGAACATCTCAGACGGACAGGTGTTCGACTTCTGGAACGTAACCTGAGAGATATTCTAAAACTGTCTCTTGAATCAGATCTTCTTCTCCTCCTCTCGGTTGATCTTGATCGATTTCTCCGAGATCGTCTATGTCTTTTCCTTGACAAAGATCGCTGTCTTGATATTGATCTTGATCTAGTCCTCCTCCGTCTTGAACGTGACTGTGAACGAGTTCGAGAGCGTGACTGTGATTGTGAACGATTTCTTCTAGACCTTGATACTGTTCTACGTCTACGAGACCTAGATTCTGGGGACTTGGAACCTTTACTTCTTGATCTTCTCAAGCGTTCTTTCTCTCCTGCTTTATCTACAGATTTAGACCTAGACCTAGATTTAGATTTGTGCTGCTCAGGTGATTTTTCTCGATTATTCAAAGTTGCTTCCAAAGACTCAGTTCCATCTGTTTTCTCAAGGGACTTAGACTTTGATCTGTATTTAGAGTGTTTTCCCCTTGATCCATCCACAGAATCGGTGTCTTTTTTTCTTTCAGAAGACTTCGATCTAGATTTTGATTTAGATCTTGGGCGATCTGATGACTTAGATCGTCTATGACTAGAATTTAAGGTTGACTCCCTCTTTTCAACTGATTTTGTTCCGGACTTATCAGTAGATTTAGATTGCCTTTTTGATTTTCCTGATGTTTCTACATTCTCAACTGATTTGGATCTAGATTTGTGATTATCAGAAGACTGGGAACGTCTCCTTTTTGATCTAGCTGAAGTCTCTCTTTTATCAACAGATCTGGATCTAGATTTGCGATCAGAGGACACAGACCGCCTTCGTTTCATCCTCACTGAACTGTCCCTTTTGTCAACAGATTTGGACTTTGATCTGCGGTTATCAGAAGACCTAGATCGCCTTCGCCTTATCCTCACTGAACTGTCTCTTCTGTCAACTGATCTGGATCTTGACTTACGATTATCAGAGGATCTTGATCGCCTTCGCCTTCCTCTCCCTGAAATCTCCCTTCTGTCAACAGATCTAGACCTAGATTTGCGAGTTTCAGGGGTCCTTGATCTTCTCCCCCTTCTTCTCACTGAAAGCTCTCTCTTGTCATCGGGCGATCTTGACCTAGACTTGGGATTATCAGAAGATCTAGATCGTCTTCTCCGTGTTCTTACCGAAGAGTCTCTTCTGTCAAATGATTTGGATCTAGATCTACAACGATCAGAAGACTGAGATCGCCTTCGCCTTGTTCTCAGAGAGGTCTCTCTTTTGTCACTTGATCGTGATCTAGATTTATGATGGTCAGAAGATCTGGAGCGCCTCCTCCTTGATCTTGTCAAAGTCTCTCTTCTATCAACTGATCGTGATCTAGATCTGCGATTGTCAGAAGATCTGGATAACCTTCGTCTTCTCCTAGCTGAGTCTCTTCTTTCAACTGATCTGGATCTAGACTTGTGATCAGATGATCTGGATCGTCTACGTCTTGATCTTATTGAAGTGTCTCTTCTATCAGGAGATTTAGATCTAGATTTAAGACGATCAGAGGTCCGTGAACGCCTTCGTCTAGACCTTAAGGAAGATTCTTTTTCTTTTTTATCAACAGATTTGGATCTAGATTTGCGACGTGAAGTGGAGTGTTTTCTCTTGGAACTGGAATCATGCTTGCTTCTAGAACGTGCTCTTCTAGATACTTGTCTAGAGGTAGACCGTGATCTAGATTTCTTTTTACGTTTCTTTGACTTGGAAGGAGATTTTGATCTGCTTTTTTTGGTTTTTTTCCCACTTTTACTTTTATCCTTACTTTTACTACTTATTTTCTCACTTTTTTTTTCTTTTAAATTACTCCCTTCACTTTCCTTCATTATTTCTGAAGAATTCAGAGTAACATCTGAATCCTGATATTTTGAAGAGTCCTGAAGAGAAACTTCCAAGTCTTTATCCTTTATTATAACCTCAGATTCAACAGCTATTCCTGAATCTTTTGCCTCAATGCATTCTCCCACTCTGATGACTTCTTTCTCTGCCAAGTGCACAGGCTTTACAGCTTCTCCTGAATCTCCCAGCACAATGGTTTCCAGTTGATTTACTTCCGCTTTGCCTTCTGTTGTCATACAGAGAGGTTTAATAGTTGTTTGCTCCTTTGAAAAAGTCTGTACATCTAGATCTTTTCTGTTTGTCACATCTACAGATTCTAAGGTTGCTTCTGAATCTTTCATTTCCAAAGTGAACTGTGGAATTATTTCTGCACTCTTATCTTGCATTAATACCACATGTTCTACAGTTGATTCCTCAGCTTTCCCTTCTGCCACAAACCCACTTTTTAAATTCTGTTCAATATCCTTTGTACTTGAACATTCAGAAACTGATACAAAATCTTTAACAGGTTCTAGAGATGCTTCTAATATCTTTTGTTGTGGCAAACTTGAGTTTCTTTCCAAATTCTGAATGTTTAAAGGTAACACTGATTTTGAGAGTTCCTGAAAATCCATTTGCTCTTTCTCTCCTGATGTTTGTACAGCTTGGAGGTTTTTTATTTCAATTACAGACTTGTCTAAAACAACTGTTTCTAAATCTTCCAGTTCTTTCATCTGTACAGATTCTGAAGCATTGTTACATTTCAATTCCATTATATCAGTAAGTCCTGAATTTGATTTTGATTTATTAATGTCTGTAGAAATGTCAGGTGACTTTTTAATTAAATTGTCTAGTTCTACATTTGTATTTGTAGCCTGTACATCTGACATAGTTTTACTTTCCAGAAATATATCAGAACATTTTTCAATTGTTTCTGGAACTGTAGCTGATAGATTTGATCCAGTATCTCTTGCCTTTGAAACTTGAGTAGTCATCTCTGAAATACCTATTATTTCTTCATATGTAAGACTTCCTTTCAAATCTTTGGCCACTGGGGTGTCAAACTGGGCAGACTCTAATTTTTTTCTTTCCTGGTTATGTCTATATTTCAAAATTTGTTCCAGGTTTTCCATATTGCCTGAAGATAATATTTTTGAAATAGCTTTTGAAAGTTGATCTGGTGTCACTTTTTCAGATTCTGAAGCAATTTTGAATGGAAATGTTCCTAGCCCATATTTAATTTCTGAAGCAGATTCCAAATTTTTTACTTCCAAAATGTTTTCATGTTGGATTTGTGAGTCAGAGTCAATTATTTTTAGTGGACAACTCTCTGCAGTTGTGTCAGAAGATTTGAAACCAGTTACTCCTAAATATGTTCGAGGAGTTTTGAGCTCTGGGGTTTTCAAAGTGTCAGTTACTTCCAATATAGAAACAGATTCTGAAGATGTTAATTCTGGTTTCTTTAACTGCATTGCAGCGGCCACTGGATCTTTTATTTCTGATAGTCTTTCATAGCTCATTGTTGCTCTTAAACCTTTTGGTTCAACTTTAGACCCAGACAGTGAAACATCAGCTGCATCCCTGGATTCTAATACATAAGGAGACTTAGTATATTTTTCTCTCTGACTAGCTTTTAAATTCTTCTCTTGTGCATCTAAAATATTAGGGCTTTCTTTCAAATCTTGGACATCTACCATAAATTCAGACAGAGTTATATCAAACTTCTCTCTCTCTTGACCTGTGATAGTTTCAGACACTTCAGAGCATTTTAACAATCCTGTACCAGATTCTGAAGCTTTTCCAGAAACACTTTCTTCGTTGGCAACTGACAGTCTTTCTTCTATAATGTGTGCCCTTACACCACTATGTGAAGACATAAATAGTTTTGAAACATTTGCATCATTATCATTAGATGGCTGGACAGGTTGATCGTTCATCTTTTCTTTACCAATGAACTCTACATTAATTGACTTCTGACTTGCTTCTACCTTTTTCATATCTGCTCTGTAATTATGTTCAAAACTTTCTTCTGATACATCTGTAGATTCCACTGAGGCAGATAAAGATGTAGGAACACCTTGCTTTTCCGTTACGCCCAATTCTGTAGACTTGGGAGGTATTTCTAGATCTTCAGTATCTATTACACATACAGATGCTGGTGGTGTTTTCAAATGTTCATATGTCAATCCTTCACTTCTGAGTACTGCATTTGAGTTTTGCAACTTTGTTATACTCTTTGATTCTGGAAGCATTTCTGTTGTAACTTCCACACTATCTGATACCACTGATTTACATCCTGGAATGTATTCTTTAATTTCTACACCTGCTTGAAGCAAAGATTCTGAATCAATGTTCATGTCTTTTACATTTATTGTTTTAGATTCTGAAGTTTTTGAATCTTTCATTTGAATTTCATAAGACTTTGGGATGGCCTCTGAATTTGTTTTTGTCAAGTACACAGTTTCTGGACCATATCTTGAAACTTTAATTCCAGAATCAGAAGTAAGAACAATCAGATCTCTCTCTGACAAATTCAGAGGTTCTGGTGCTTCCATTAATCCTGTAGTTTCTATTTTTTCTTCCAATTTCTTGTTCTCCTGAATATTAAATTCATCTATAAACGGAATCTCTGTTCTTGCACATTTAACACTTAAATCAGGCACAGAATCTAAAAATTCTTTTCTACTTTGTGTCTGTGTGTTCTCTAATCGTTCTTGATTTTGTTCAAGAGATTCTGAAACTGATTCAAATTGTTTCATAGTACTGCCAAATGGAAAATCATCTTTTGATTCAACCAATACTAAATTCTTCCATTTTAAAAAATCCTTAGGATCAATTGCAGCTGTCAAAGATTTTCTAGGTTCTTTTAAGTCTTGTACTACCGCTATTCCTGTAAATTCTGGATTACCTTTTTCTGAACTTATTACATCAATTTCATGCAATGATTTTGAAATGAATAATGGACCTTGACTCTTAACTAACAACTCACTTTCTCCTATTTTGCTGGAGTTTGTTTCAATTACTTCCTTACGTCTTGAGGTAAGTCCCAAATCTGTTGTATCTACACTACTTTGGTTCTTCTTTACAGTGGAATCAAAACATTTCTGTTCTATTTCTTGCACAAAATGAGATTCAGTTTCACTTTGCGTTCTATTGGAAGTACCTTCAAGTGTCTCTGCATATGTCACAGTTGGTAATGCAATTGATTTTGATGCAGGTTCCACATTTTTTACATGTTTTTGTAATGGTTTTAAGTTTTCTTGTAAATTATTTACTTCAGTCACAGCTTCAGATTCTGTACTTTTAACGTATTTGATTTCCTTGGCATATGGTGGTTCAACGTTGTCAGCATTTGACTTCTGCAATGATTTCAAAACTGCATCTGAATTTTTCAACTCTATCATACCTTCAGTTTCTGTATAAAGTTCTAGATTATGTTCTGAATAGTTTGCAAATATCATCTGCAGAGATCCTGAACCAGCATCCACATCTCTCTCTTCAGGTTCAAGAACAGTTTTGAAATCTTTTTTGTGTGCCTCCACATCAGATTGTGAAGTTTCCTTCACTATTTTAATTTCTTCTATGCACTGCAACCCTGATGAGGAATTTTCTAAATTGTTTACAAGCATCAAAGGTTCTGGAATATTTTTCAACTTCTCTGCATTCTTGTTTTCTTTATTTCTTAGATCTACATATTTCGAACTTTCCAGATTTTGTATTTTCTCTGTTTGTATTGTTTCTGAAACATTCATGTCTTTTAATTGTGAAGCATTTTCAGGAACTTTCACACTGAAGAGCGCCAGAGAATGTTGAATGATTTTAGAATTTCCTCTATTTTCTATTACAGTTTCTAATGAAGTTTCCAAATAATTAATCCGTTCAGCCTTTTCAAATTCCTGGATGCATTCCAAATTCTTTGCTTTAGAAGATTCTGGAGCAGGTTTCCAATTTTCTGATTCTGTTACACCATCAGATCTTGCATCAATTTCCGTACAGTAGGAATTAACTTCTACATTTGTTTTTTCCAATCCTACAATGGGGAGATGTTCTTCTGAATCTATTCTAGTCCTATTTTCTAACAGTGGTGCTCTTTGCAAATCTGTTGCATCTTTTTGGATTGGAAGATATCCTGCATTTTTTTCTGATTCATTCAGTCCAATCATGAGGGTACAAGTTTCTCTTAATTCTTTCATATCTTTTAGAGTCTCTGTACCAAGGTTTGCTCTATTACATTTTTGTACATCAAATTCTGAAACTTCTTGCTGAGGTTTCAGCTGAACTACCACGTCTAGCTCAGGATCTTTTTCAAGGACTGTATGGACAGCTTCTGCAGTAGTTTCCACATCTTTCCGTTCTGTTCCAAACTGTTGTGGCTTGTGCAAATCTTTCACTGTGACAGTTTTCTCCAATTCGTGCACTGAATCACCTTTTCTGCTGGAATGCTTAGGACTTCTTTCTGTGAATACTTTTGCCGTATTTAAAAATTCTGAAGTTGCTTCAAAATCTTTTCCTACCACCATAGCTAAAAATCCTAAAGTTGTTACTGAATCTTTAGCTTCTGCATTTGATTCCAAAGGGAGAGTCATTAATTTATAGCCAGTAGATTCAAAAGAGGTGGATACTGTTTCTTTCACATTTTTCGAAGTCACAGGCTCTGTGACTGAATTCACACATGTTACTTTCATTGCAGTAGATTCCAGCCTGGTTTCCAAATGTTCTGGCTCTACTCTTACACAATATGGACTGCTTTCAGGAATGTTTTCTTGATCTGTTGTCTCCAACATTAACTTAGCTTGCTCTACTTCATTTATATCTGACACTCTTTCTACAACTGTGCAAATAGCATCACTCAAAGTTTTATCCTCTGGGCATATATTTACTGTTACATTAGGATGGTAACTGTCATCTTCCAATTCTTTTTCATTTGCAAGCTTAACTTCACTGACCTCCTGAATACTTATGAGAGTAGAATCTTCTTCAGATGTCTCCAGTTTGCTGGTATCTGAACTAAATGTATTATTCAACAAAGCCGAGTTTAGATTTTCATACACAGTTTTTTCATTAATCAAAGGAGAAACTTCATTCAAGGTAGACCCAGAGTGTACATCTACATCATTTTCTGCATTTAAGAGAGAACCTGAATTTTCTAGATCTGAATGAGAAAGTTGCATATCTTCACATTCTTTTTGCTGATCATCTGTTTCTTTGGCATGTTTTTTATATTTCTTCTCTTTTTTCTCCTTCTTTCGTTTTTTCTTTTTCTTTTTATCTTTGTGTTTCTTGTCCTTCTTAGACCTTTTCCTTGGAATTTCATCTTGCACGTCTTCAGATAAGCCTCTTTTAATAGTGTGTGAATTATTCCTTTCGATATCATCTCCATCTCCTTTAAAAAGATATTTTGATTAAAATTTAAAACAAAAAATGGCATAAAGTTGTATGAAAATCAAAGGCAAAATTTTACAAGACTAACCAACAAGCAGTTTTGCTATATTTGCTGGAATTGTCAGATTACAGAAGTCAACAAGCAACTATTATTAAGAATACTAATATATACAATAAATTTCCAAAGAGCTAAGATCCTATACAGGTAGTCCACAATATATGACCACAATTGAGCCCAAAATTTCTGTTGCTAAGTGAGAAAATTGTTAAGTGAATTTTGCCCCATTTTACAACTTTTCTTGCCACAGTTAAGTGAATCACTGCAGGTTTCTTAGTAACATGGTTGTTAAATGAACCTGGTTTCCCAATTGACTTTATTTATCAGAAGGCTGCAAATGTTGATCACCTCGGGATACTGCAACTATAATCAATATGATTCAGTTGCCAAGTGGCTGAATTTTGACCATGTGGATGCTGCAACAGTCATAAGCATAAAAAACAGTCAAAAGTTACTTTTTTCAGTGCTGTTGTAACTTCAAAAGACTGAACTGTTGTACGTCAAGGACTACCTGTATTTTACGGGTTCCTTTATAGCAAAGTTCTTCAAACTTGCCAAGTTTAAGGCTTGTGGACTTCAACTCCCAGAATTCCTGAGCTAACATGACTGGAGGAGGAATTCTGGGAGTTGAAGTCCACAAGTCTTAAAACTGTCAAGTTTGAGGACCCCTGCTTTATAGCATATTCATTTATGGCTAAGGTTAACTTAGGGGTTTATCTTTACCCTAACATGGGGGCATTTTTGCCCAATTTCTTTTTAATTTATATATTAATTAAATCATATTCTTTCTAATTAAATCTTCATCTTTTGGCAGATAGATTCCAATTTTAACATATCCTGTTATGCAGCAATATGCGAACATTACAAAAGCACCGCAGTCCCTATTGATCTTTTGTAAAGCTGAAATGTTGATTAACCATCAGAAAACCAAGATAACACACTATGTTGAAAAAAAGTCAACAATTCTACACCTGACCTATTAAAGGAAATGTCTTTTGTGTTTTCGTGGACAGAGTAACTGAAGCATTTTGTTCTCTATGCCGAAAGAAAAAAAAAACTTATTTTTTTTCCAAACAAAGAAGAGGGTGATCCTATATTAACAGGTAAAATGTTTGAAGGCAAAATCATCCCTCAACTTCTTTATAGCATAGAACTCTATTCAGAAAATTACCTCTACTATAAACTATTACAATTTAAAATAGTGCTTCAGAACACATTATTTATACTTATGCTACTTTAATTTATATAAACTACAAAACATATACAAAATTGATACTATTTTCTCCAAATGTCAATTTAATTCATCCTGACACAGCAAATGGTATAGAAAACATTATAAACAACACATTTTGCAAAACAGTACATTATTCATCTCCAGAAGACTATTTTAAATGCAAGCATTCTGGAGATGACATACTAGTTTGCAAACATTATTATTTTAAAGACATAGATATAAAATTATAAGTTGATCTTAAAATGTTTTTTAATTTACCTGATTTGTACCGTGGCTCAGTACCCAACACTTCTGATAATACTTGTTCTATCTTCTGCACTAGTGGATCATTTTGAAGACTTTCTATAGATTGAATTGTATCATCTGAAGAGTTTACTTGCCCAGATGTGTTTATTTCACCATTGTGCTGATTTCCTAGCTTTCCACTAATCAAGAAAAAAAATTAAAATCTCAAGATCAGACATATTTCAAAAATATAGTCTAATGCACCCTAAGTTTGCTAGTTCAACAATTTACATATACTTCTCTTAGACAAAAACTGTATAAATATAAAAAAAATATTTTCATAATGAAATTCACAAAAACAAAAAGCACTCAACAGGTAATAATTACATAAAGTTTAATACAATAAAATGAAGTCATAATTTATGTCAGTCAAGTGTATAGAACATTACATGTCCTTTGAAATATATGTTACACATAATGTCCAATGTCCATGTTTTTAAAAGATGAGACAAGAATACCAAGCATTGTACCATACATTTATTCAGAAGATTAGATTAAAAACAGAGGGAGGGAATAAATTTCCTTGCAGAAAATATCTGATATTTTTAATCAAACTTACAATTAAGCATCTACAATAAAGACTGCATAATTTTGAGCCAAATTCTTTTTTAGTGTTATCTCCTACTATAAGTTGTCAATTTTCAGTGCTATTTTTCTGATGTTACTATTTGAAACCAAGGCCCTATGTATGTTTTTCAGCCATGTGCACTGAGCTAATATAGGTAAATAAAAGCCTTTTACAAATCAACATTATAGAGCACAAGAAAATTGAGTGATCTTTTCAAGTGCTAATTTGTTGATAATTATACTCCTTTCCAGAATATAACATCCCTTTTTTGTAGTTTTATGACACAATCTGATTATTTTTATCCTAACTAAAGTAAACTTGAACTACATTTGTTTCATGAAAATGAAAGGAATATTTATAAGAATTATTCTCTCAATGCATATGTTCAATGGAATTTGAACACAGTTGGGATACTAATTCAAAGACACCGATGCCCTTGAAATATATGAAGATAAAGGCCTATTAACATTACAAGTAAACAGCATCAGGCAGTGTTTTCACAATGAACTAAGTGTTTTTGATGAAGGAAAACCTCATTTAAAAAAAACAGGACTATTTTTAATTTATTTATCCTGGCATACATTGGTTATAAATTGTAATGGAATGCATACCAAGGTGTATGGAGTACAATTTAAAACAAAACAGAGTTTTAGACTTGGTACATCATTCAGCCTATTTCAGTATTTGTTCCTGGCTACAACACTGAAAATCTATTTTCACAAATATATGCTGAAGAAAGTACACTTGGACCTATAATGACTTCACTCTGCCAGCTCATATTCTTTGGAAGTTTATATTATTTTTAATGCAACCACTTAGGGCAGAAATCTCAATATTAGTTTTTCATTCACACATAGAATGCTGATTTAGGTAGTAAATCTGACTCCAAAATGTAGAACATATTTACATGTAAGGTACCTGTCCTCCAAAGAATAGAATTTAAGACAGTAAACTTCAGATACAACAATTTAAATGTAAACATTGGTTTACTACTATATAGATGTGCATTTCCAAATTGCATCTTTTTCTGCAATTGCCAAATTATAAAAATTTAAAGAATATCTATAACCTTTATACCAGCTTATTGATATAACATCTTGTCAAAACCCTCTTGTATTCAGAATAGTTTCTTCTGACATGTGGTATTTTATTTACTGCCTCCATAATTGGAATTTGGTGTTTTAAACAATTAGCATTGCATAAACCCCTATTATCTATCTTGTCCAATAAGTCTACATCAGAATCATATATAGTAATAAATAATGAACACAAGTACAAGTAAATAAAATAAAAAGAGAAGAAAATTTGGTCCAGTGGTTAAGACACCAGGCTAGAAACCAGAAGATTGAATTTTAGTCCTGCCTTAGGCCTGAAAGGCAGCTGAGTGACTTGGGACGCCACTCCTATAGACAGCAATGGGAGACACTTCTGAACTCTTGTCTAAAGGAGTTGTCCAGTCAGTCACCAGGAGTCAACACTGATTCTATGATAATTAAGTGATATAACAAAAGATAATTTCATCAATAATTATAAATTTTATAAGTAGATAAATAGATAAAAATTAGCTGGACAGAGATCCTTCGTTGATATTCTTAAACATGGCGTACGTTCATAACCATTTTAAAAATGTTTAATTTTACTTAAAAATAATCACACATTTACAAAAAAAATCGTCTTTCCAAAAACATTATTGGCAAATTGATTTAAAGCTGTGCTTTAAAAGAGTTAGATTCTACAATTTTCTACGAACAGTAACCTGTTATCAATGTATTTCTATGTAACTCTCGTCCCTTTCTCGTTCCCGGGAAAGGGGGGGGGGAGCAATTAGATCGACTCGGAGCTTAAAATCTTCTTTCAAGCTCCTAAACCCACTAAATCCTCCCAACGATCCGATTTCGAAATTTCAAATAACGAAGGATTGACATTCTTTGCGACGCCAATCCAACCAGCAGGCCGCCTACGTCGGCTCCTCTCTTTTCAACCTTCTAATTCCCCCCGCCCCTCCGGCACCCTTTCCGTCTTTAGGAGATCCATTTCTCTCCCAGTTTCCCGGACTAATTCAAATCGATAACCCGACTAAACTCGGCCTCGGCCTCGTTCTCGGACAGCTGTGTCCCCCGCGATGCCCCTTCCGGTCTCTCGGCCAACCCCTCCCCCACTCCATCCGCTTCGTCCGTTATTCCGCGTACCGACTGCCCGAATCTACCCGCTTCCAAGCAATATAAAGCCCACTCCTCTCACGATTTACCTGCCGAATTGCTGCTCCTGGATCTCCCGGAACTTGGTAACGACGAAAGACCGAAAAATTTGCTCGATGTTAGTCGCCATGACAGCCTTGCGCGGCACGAACCCCCTCTCTCTCTCTCTCCTCGAGACGCAGATCCGCCTGCGCTCTACAATGCAACGCCGGAAGAAGAAGAAGCTCTTTCCTACTTCTTCCTTTTAAGTTCTGCGTTCTCTGATTGCTTGCTCTGAGGCCGGAGGTGGGGACTGAAGCCGTCTGTGTGTGGACGCTCTGCCCTCGATTTTAGCCATAGAGTCTCGGACGGCCGAGTTGCTCCCACAAGTTGCTGTTTTCATTTGCTGCAACCGCTAGTTATTGTTCCGTGGGAAGTATATACTAGGGAGAACGAGTAAAAGATAACGATTTGGAAGTCACTTCGTAGCCGCCCCCACAGCTTTAAACTATGACTGAACTGAACGGTCCCCCATCCCAAGGTTCATGCCCGGCTGCGGTCGGGGCTGTAAAAGCCTATTTTTACCGTTGCCTCGCTGTGCGCAGCGGCCATATTGCGGCTGCGCTTCACGGCGAGGTGACTGCTTATCGTTGGGAGTCGTGGGGCTGCGGAGAGGTGTAGAACGGCTGGTTATATGGCCCGGGAAGGGAACGCATGGAAGCTCTCCTAAACATTGCTCGAAAAGGTTCAAGAAAGTAGTTTGAAACCAGCCTGGTATGGTGGATTGCTTACAACGGCCCAACATTATATACACATATTCTGAAAAATATCTGCGTTACAATTATATAACTGCATATTTTCTCGGCTTAATCTCTGGTGCGCAGCAATTTGAAGTCAATCGGTAGCAATCCCTAAAGCGCCATTTTAAACAGCAAAATTATCGGCTCTGCTCGCATCACAAGATGGTTAGTTTAACTGAATAAATATAAGCTAGGGAGGAGGCAAATGAATATCATCGGTAATTCAAATCGACATCGCGGAGTTCTTGTACACAGTTTGCTGTTGTGAGAAACTAAGGAAGAAACCGACTTCACATAATAAAATGAAAAAGCAACATTCACAAAAGCAACATTCATTTTAGTCTATTGCATCATACAATACTCAGTAACTATAAAGGAAATGTCAGGAGTATTTTAATTGAATTTCATGGTTACTTAATGCTATAATTCAAAGGTGAGGGTAAAAAGTCATAGCATCTGTGGTAAGAGAAAACAAAATACAACGTTGGGTGTGCCAAAAATCCTTGATTCAAACAATCGTTTCTCTAGACACTTCTGAAGAACCTATCAAAACCACTGTACAAAATATTTACACAATTCTGCAATGCTTTGGTTTCATTTTAAAAATTGCTTCGAAATGTTAGGAGTCCAGATGCAGCACCTGTGTATGACTCATTAAAGCAGCTAGGTGCATTTTCACTTTTGCATGTTCCAAAGAACTTGTCTCAAATCAAATCCAAAATATTGCACAGCTTTGTTACCGTAACTTTTGTAGGTGGTTAAACAGGAATTTGCTACCATCAGTTATGATGGCTACCAACTTAGATGATTTCAAAATGAGATTGGAAAACTTCATGGAGAAAAAAGTAATCAATGACTCCTGAAATAGTGGAGATATACATATAAGAACAAAAGTGGAAGATATTAGTTCCCTGTTCATGTTTAACTTTCTTAATTCTTGATCACTAATAGAATGCTAGATTAGGTAATCTGTCTTTATTCAGCAAGCCTTATGTTTTTGGCTGATGCCCCATAACAGCTTATGATATTCATAAATATAAAAACAATGTAAGAAATAACTGTAAAATTTATCTTTAAATATCCAAGGTAAAATTGTGGCTGTTCTGACTGATGCAACCAGAACAATTGAACACTTAAACTGTACAGAGTAGATTTTAGGAGGAGCCCTTCTACCATCTCTCACAATATTAGACAACACAGTATCAGGAGTAGAGACCTTCAAGTTTCTGGGTTGTATAATCTCATAGCACTTGAATACCTAGCATTAGAATCATCAAAAAGGCAGAATAAAGAATGTTCTGCATCAACTCAGAAAGTTCAGACTGCCCAGGACCTGTTGACACAATTCTACTGAGGAATGATTGAGGAGCTGACAGCAGAGTCGGACAGTGAGGAGGAACATGGGCCAGTCCTGGAGTCTGGGGAGGACTCGGATGAGGGATTTGCCTCCGACACAGAGATGGGGCCAGGACCATCTGAGAGTTATGTGCTGACTCTGGAGCCTTCAAAATCTGACATCAGTGAGGCAGAGGAACGGGGGAACCTGTCCCCAGTGTGTGCTGTGCAGCTGGCAGAAGACAAGAACAGTTAAGACAAAAGGGGCGTAAGGCTTGGAGATGATTGGCCCTCCCATAAGACATAAAGGAGGAGCAAAGGGACATGAGCCTTTGCAAGAAGCAACTTTGTTCATTCTGGTTGTAAACTTGGAAGTGCCGTGTTGACTGTGCTCCATTAGGCATTGTACAGCTAATTGGCAATTTAGTCGTTGGCAGCATTTTAAGGGAGATAAAGGTGAGTGCTTATCAGCTGTATCCCGAAAGACTGGCAGACTTCTGCTGGACTATTCATAAACTGTTTGGGACTCATTACGGGCTGTGAATGGAATGCATATAATTCACAGCCATTGAAATAAAAACAAAGTTTTTTGGGAACAGCGTGTGATTGTTTCTGCCTCAGGAATCCTTGATCAGTAAGAACATTAGAAATCAACACCAAAAATGTATTACAAGCCAAAAGAAAAAGATACCCAAAAGATTGTTTAAAAAATAATCTGCTATTTTCTCCAGAACACTAGGAGGACAACCTGAACTGCCAAATTGGCACAGTCTACATGAAAACCTGGGTCACCTACTACTTTCCCAGTAGTAGGGAAAGATTTTCCACATATAGTAGTAGGATAATCCTCAAATTATATAGATGCAGCTTTAAAAGGATATTGTGGATTATTGGACCTGTTATACAGCATATTAGGAGGAAAGCAGGTTTAAAATTTAAGAGAAAAGAAACAATTTCCATGTGCCTGATACAGGTACAATATGTTTTGTATGTGGCTGATTTCTCCAAATACTGGACTAAAACCCAAGCAATTGAACATTCTAGTCCTCCCTTAGAAATGAAAGCTGGGTGATATTGAGGTAATTATGCTGTCTCAGCTCAACTGGCCTCACAGGGTTGTAATTGTGGTGGGATAAGATGTAAATACCGCTTTAAGAGAGCTGGTATTTGTTGCCTTGAGTCATATAAAAATAAAAAAACAAACTACATTTGTTCCAGAAAAGCAATGGCTATTTTCTTTATTATATTTTATCCTGCCTTTATGATTTTATAAGTAACAATAAAAGGTTAACTTTTTACTTATTAAATTTTTGGTCAATACATTAATAATACTTTAACAATTTTAAATAGCACTTGGTTGAACCCTTGGATGTGTCTGTATGAGTGTGCACGCACACGTGCATGGATGGATGTGTGCGTATGCTTTATGGTATTGTACTATTCCCTCTTTTAAAGATTGAAATGAGCCTGAAAACAGACTGGAAACCAGTGCAAATGGAGAAGCATTAATATTTATAAACTTTAGGCAAATTTCTGGGCTCGTTTTATTTCTGGGCTGCATTTATATATAATTGAACAAAATACTAAGGATTGAATAATGTTTCAATCAAAAAGTGTAAGTGAAAAATACTGCATATATACAATGCAGTTTTGAAATATAATTTCTGATTATATAGTATGTACCTTCTCATCCTTCCGAGGTCAGTAAAATGAGGACCCAGATTGTTTGGGGCAATATGCTGACTCTAAACCGCTTTAAGAGAGCTGGTAAGCAGTATGAAGTGCTGTATAAGTCTAATTGCTATTACTATTGCTCCGTTTGCTATGCTCAAAGTTTGCTATAATAGTAACCACCGATGCAAATACACTCGTAAGCACTATCTTGTTGTTTTATTAATGTTGTTTAATCTAATTGTTTAGATTCCTATATATTCAACTTCAGTTTTCAGGCTTAATAAATCTCTGTCATTATGAAATCAGTTCTATTTCTCCCTCCCTGAGAAAGGTTAAAGATCGCTGAAACTGTAGCATTCTGGGAGAAGTAGTTTTTAGCATATGCTGGTGAGGAACTGTATGCTCGCTGTTTAAAAGTTGTCCGCCAAAAAGTAAGTTTTCGATTTTTCTTTGGGAGAAAAAGAAGAAGAAAAACCTAGCACATTATTATGGTGTGCTTTCTAAAAAACATGTAATTGTCTGCTTAATGAGATAGGAGTCTGATTTTTGACCTCGTGGTCAGCGTTTGTAAATTTCTTACTGTTTTTTCTCCAGGTCCGAATTGGCTTTTTTTCAAATTCTTTGTGTTTTTCGTGGGTTCCTGGGGTATTTTTTTAAACAATATGTTGAGCATATTCATTAACCTATAAGATTTTACAGGAATTTGAAGTATCTGTATACCGTTTTGCAAAACTAAAATTCCATTAATGTTGTATGCATGTCTGCTGCTCGTGAAGTCATGACTTTATATTTTCACACTAGCGAGAAACTTAGGGTGGATATGCTGTGGTGGTGTGTGATGGGATCCTCTTAATAAGTGTTCTGGGATCCTCTTAATAAGCAATGGTATAGAATAAGACATTACTGGATTCATTCTTAATTCCCAGAGAGAGGAGTTCCTGCCCACCAACAGCTTACCTATTTACATTTTAGCAAATCAGAATTATATAGAATGATTATTAAATATCTAGTGATAGTTTACATCTGTTTTTCTAATACAGATTAGGTTTATGCTCCTGTGATTTTCAGCTGCTCATGTTTATTGGGAATTCCAAGCGTTAGACCCAATGTAAATCTGCTAGGAAGGGAGGAAAATCTGATTTATCTGGAAAAAGAAAGACAGGCTTCCACGTGAGGCAAAGACTTGTATAAATCAGGCCTAAGATTCCATGTGATTTTGAATGTTAGCACTCCAATTTTTACAGCATTAATAAACATCAAGAAAACTGTAGTTTTTCGTTATTTTTTGTTTTTGTATTTCCATTTTTCTGCACTAATACTGCACCACACACATGCCAATATATAAAGATTTGTTCCAAATCTTTCCTTTTCTAGGTTTTCCTTTGTTTTGTAATGAAATGTGTGAATGCATATCAGGCGCAAACAAAAAATCACTAACTTTCAGAAGAAAATAATTTACA